CCATTTGTACTTTCCCTAAAACTTGCTGTAGAAGACAAAACAAAACAAAATGATGTAGCCACTACGTCTTAACAAAGCAGGAAAGTTTTAAACCAGACGGTTAAGCATAATAGCTCCAAACAATTACTTACTATAGTCCTTTCACATTTATACTTTAATTACATCTTTAAGGAAAAAAGGTTTCCTTTTGCCTAATCTTCGAATTCAAAATATTACTTTAGAGATTGTTTCCATAATAGATAAAAATGCATGGTGGTTTTTTTCCTTATGAAATACACAGATGAAATACTGAACCCCTGAAGCTAGGCATGGTAGTGCATATCTTTAATCACAGTACTCAGAAAGCTTGGAAGAAGAGTCTTAATATAGGAAGAAGAGTCTTAACATAGTGAACAAGACTGTCTCAAAAAACTCAACAATGCTGGGCATCGGTGACTCCTGCCTGTAATCCTAGCTCCAGAGACTGAGATCTGAGGATCAGTGTTTGAAGCTAGCCCTGGAAGAAAAGTCCATGAGGCCCTTAGCCTCTTATCTCCAATAAAATACTCAGAAAAAGCTGGAAGTGGCGCTGCAGCTCAAGTAGTAGACAGCTCCCAGGCCCTGAATTCAAGCCCAGGACCACCTCCCCCCCCCAAAAAAAATCAAGAAAACTTGAATTCCTAGTGCTGTCAGTACCACTGTCACAGAAACTAAGTTAAGGGACAACTGGTGATCTACTAGTTCTATACTGAGTGTCTGATCCTGTGTCCTGTAAGCATACTGTAAATATAAACTTTACACTGTAAATATAAACCCTGTACAACAGTGAGGCCATTCAAGCAGAAATTGTGTACTACCAGAATCTTTTTTTGTTCCAGTACCAGATTTTGAATTCAGATTCTTGCACTAGCTCAACTGGTATTCTGCCACTTGATCTGTATCTACATCTGGTTAGTGGGAGATGGAGTCTCACAGTCTTTTCTGTTTAGGCTTGTTTCAAATAGCCATCCTCCAAGTCTCAGCCTCCCCTCATTGCGTGGCAATACCAAAATCTTCATGCTAATAGATTTCCTACATACAGAACTCCTTGAAAGTATTTCTGAACTAATCTGGGTTACAGCCAATCAGACTCTTCTGTTACAAGCTTGCAAATGCTCCTAAGAACTTTTTCTTTAACTACAGCCCAGAGCTTCCCACATGCAAATCACATGTGCCACTCCTGAGCTACATTCCCAACCCATAAGCACATTGCATAGTGACCTAATATTCATAATTTTATTTGGCACACGAGACAGACAGGGGCCACAAAGACTTTAGCAACAAAGAATGACATATAGCATCTGAATATTCTCTTAACATTGGCACCCATGGCTCACACATGTAGTTGTAGCTAACAGGGAGGATAAGATTGTTGGGATAGAGGTTTGTGGCCAGCCAAAGCAGAAAAATGTTTGGGAGACATTTTCTTAATTAAGTGTGGAACATGGGAATATGTGCCTGTTACCCTAGCTACTGAGAAGCCAAACAGGTGGATCGTATGTGTGCCCAGGCAAGAAATGAGAATGAGAATGCCCCACCTCAAAAATATTGAGCAAAACTCAGAGCTAGAAGCATGGATCCATGGTAAAAGTACCCACTTTGCAAACACAAGGCCCTGGAAGAACTAGAAATGTAAATCTGTCATCCATCTAAGCTGAAGTACTGTTCTCTGGGGCAGGAAAAATACTGTATTTTTATGCAAAAAGGATATATATGAACATGCAGCTTGGCCTTGAACTAGAGATCCCCTTGACTCTGTTTTGAAAGGGCTGGGATTACAGGTGTATTTCATCGGATGAGGAGTATTAAATCTTTGTAACTGGAGTACTTGATTGGAGGGGTGGGGCCTGGTTGTACAGCACGTGTTTGCTAGCACATGGGCTCAACCCCTAGCACATAAAGAAGTAAATAAATATGCACCTAAAATGTAGCATGCAATTGTCCATCTGAGAGTAGCAAGCTACACCAAAAAACTGGGTCTTCACAATAGCTCTATGAGAGAAAAAGAAGCTAAAACTACTCTTTACCTGTAGCACAAACATTAAAGAGAATGAAACAGTGGGCCAGATAAAGCAACCAATACAATCTCCACCTCCCTCCCACAACCCCTCCCAATGCCAGAAACATCACAAGAGTAAAAATCACAAACTCTGCAATCCTTGTTCATCCTCCCAAGTGCATTCACTTCCCAACCTGTCCCATAACACTTGCTAACATTTACAAGAAGTAAAAAGAAGCCCATAGACTTCCCTTATCCATGGTTTCACTTTCCAAGGTCACCTACAGGCTGCTAAATGGAAAATTCCAGAATAAATCATCCATAATCTTTAAATACATGCTATTACAGTGCATTGTTATAATTGTTTTATTTTATTATTAGTTACTGTTATTGTACCTAATTTATAGGTGAAATTTCCTGGGAGGTACGTATGCTAGAAAGGATACACAGAATATATGGGGTTCAGACAGTGCGGGGTGGGGGGTGTCTTGGGATATACTCCCTGAGGGCAAGCACGGACTACTGTAAAGAAGTAGGCTCCTCATCTTTGGGGGAAAGAGAGGAGACTTACAACATTAGAAAAGAATAAAGCAATAGGAAGAAGTTGTAATATGGTCAAGAGTGGAGTTCAGTGGGACACTTCATGTGGTCCCATTGGTAGTAAGGTTAGAGTGCCATACTTATAATTAAGAAATGATTGAGGCTCCAGGGACATGGGACATTTCCTGAGGATTAATGACGAGCAGAAGAGTTGATGGCTTCAAGCACTGTCACTGGCCAGTAAGCCCATCCAGTCATTATTAATCCTCAGTTAACACCCTGGACTTCATCTATGACAGTGATTCTAATAAATACAAGTGGAAAGTTGAATTTCAACTTTCTACTTAAACTAAATGTTGGTTTAGATCACTCGAATTTCTTCAGGTGAGATCTCTGCAAATAACTAAGGAACTACCATAGAGCAAAGATGAAATGTGTACAAATAGGATTGGGGTACAGGTCAGGGGTAGAGTACTTTTCTGGCATATGCAAATGCCTGGGTCCCATCCCTAGCACCTCTCACCCTCAAAGTGTAAATAGAATTACTTTTTGCAACGTTTCAATGAAAGAGAGACATGGAACTCAGATCTTGTTTGAAAGCATCATAGCCCCACAAGCAACATACAAACACCGAAGCTATATTTAACTTGAGAGTTATCTGACAATAACTCAAGAATACTAAAAGTATCAGTATCTACTTTCCTAGAACTGATTTGTTCAGGGAGGTAAACAAAACACTGGGACAGAGGGACTTCACTCTTTAAAAGGAAACAAAAGCAAGGGACAGGGTGCTGGGTTGGGGGGGGGCAACTCTAATCTTTTGTGGCTTTCTAAGTCATGATTCTGACACTGGTGTTGAGAAATCAGCAGACATACCAGGAGACAATTCATTTCCTTACTATTCTAAGCACAAACATGCTTTAAGTAAACTTTCGTAGGCTTTTAACTTTTAATCAATCAGGTGCGATCTACCCAAAGCACTTTAAGAGTTTTTAACTTTACCAGAAGAATGTGAACATTTATTTTTACTTTCCAAGAAAAAGCAAACCTAAACTCTCCCCTCCATCCTTAAAACTCTTTAAAACAATTTTGCTGTCAGTAATGGACTACACACACACCAGAAGCACAGGAAGACACAAAGCCCATAGCTCTTGTGTGTCGTATTGAACCACGCTGTTTATATTGCCATCCGTAGCCCCTCTCTTGGGTTGGCCTTGAGGCTTGCCAGGTAGCTGGAAAGCCTCTGAAAGAACGAGTCAGTCTGTCCAGAACTGGAATTTCCACTTTGGGGAGAGCACAGAGGTATCTAACATCCCTCCCTGAAGGGCTTGCCCTACACTTCCAGACTTGGGGCCAAAATTCCTACTTCTGTTTGGTGTCAGGGGATCAAAGGGGTAAAAGCTCTTGTAGAGCAGACTCCCTAGAAAAGCAGCCACAAAGAAAAAGAATGTAAGTTTGGTGATAAACTCCTGAGTTTGTCCTTTGAGGCAAAATAGTAAATTAAAGCAGCATCTAGCACTTTAGGGCCCAGTCTCAATCCAGGCTCTGGGACTGTTTAGGCTCAAGTAGTTTCTAGGTGGGTATGGTTTCCCCATCCTAGGTGTTGATACCTAAAACCCAAAGAGGAGAGAACTCATTTGCAGGCTGGCACAAACCTCTCAGCTGGCACACTTACTCTGGTGTCTTGCTTAAATCCCTCTTCCTTTCAGACCCTAAACTTCACAGTGCTAGGCACTGTGTGTACCAGGCACTTCTGAGCAGCCTGATCTGGGAGTTCCTGTCTGAATGCTAAGGTGCAGCTTTGTTTTAAGGAAAATGCACCCCAAAGGTCACTTTATATTGGACTGCCCTAAACTGGCCATCAACCACCAACCAGTTCCTCCCGTCTCCGCCCCTTTTCTTTAAAAAAAAAAAAGCAACGAAAGAAAGCTACAGGAAGTGGGATTGGCATGTTTTCTTTTTAATAATTTACAAGTATTTTTTTCTGCCGTCAGAAGTTATGACAAATATGTAGTGGAATACTTTAACCGTGAATTTATTCTATTATGTTCTACCTAACTGCTTCCTTCCTTTCTATATTCGTACAGTGCTCTGTAATCTGACTTACAAAAAAACGCATTCCCTGCACAGAAGCTGCAGGAAGGAGCTATTCCTTTTGTCCGGCGAACTTTCAAGTTTCTAGTGTTACTGTGATACTGTGTTACTGCGCAGCCCTGATTTGTAAGTTGGCACGCTCTCTTGCATCCCTTAAGGTTAGGTGTAAACTTTTCCCCCAAAGCGCGAAGAGAAATCAAATCTGAGGCAGTAGATTAGCTACTAAAACACAACACAACAACAACACAACAACTCTCTCCCCGCCCCCATCCAGACCTACATTAAAATAAAAGTTGGTCCCGAAGTGGAACCAGAAAGATATTTCATGCATAGAGGTTGCTTTGGTTACCTGGGTGGGGGAAACAATGGCAGGTGAAACTACTGTGGGAGAATTGGTGCTTCGGTGCCCATTGGCTTCTGGAAGAAGAGGCAGGGGGTCGTGTTTCACGGAAACCACCACCACCGCATCCACAGGCTCCGAGGGGCGGATACAAAGTCTTTTGGGGGAAGAAGGGCCGCAGATTTCCCCAGACCCAAACACGGACTCGTACAGAGCGCGCTTGGGCCCAGCCTCGGGTTTCACGTCGGGCCCCACCTGGCTGTCTTTGGGGAGGGCGTAAGTGTTCCCCAGCGAGGGCGGCTGGGGGCGGTGGTGGTGGGAGGGATGCGTGGGGGGATGATGGGAGTGGTGGCGGGTCGCCCCGTTCAGAGCCTCGGGGTAGCAGCCGTGCGGGGCCGGCGAGCCCAGCTTGGTACCGATGCCCGCGATGCTGTTGAGCGTGGCGATGGAGACGGCGCCGATGCAGTGGTTGGTGTAAGTCTTGGATAGCTTGGCCGCCTTGGAGAGCATCTGCATCCTGGTACCCAACAAGTTCTTGCCGATGGCTTTGTTTTCGTACCAGGTCACATCGCCCTCGCTGCAGTGGTCCCGGGGCCGCTGGAAGAACGCCTTACAGAGGGGATTGCGCTTGGACAGGTACTTGACGAAGCTGGCGTATGGACAGAACTCGGTGCCCGTCTCGTACATGCGGGGCAAGTTCTCCTCGTCGCTGCTCTCGGCGCGCTTCTTGCTCCAGGACGACGAGCGCGACTTGTGGTAGGGCCCGAGGGATTTGAAGTAGACGAACTTGCGCCCGTCCTCGTCCATGGCCAGCCCGAAAGAGTCCTCCTCCAGCTCGCGCTGGTTCTCGCGGCCGCGCGTGCAGAAGTACATGCAGGTCTCGAACCAGACCTTGTTGAGCAGCCCGAAGGGCGTGTTGGTGCTGAAGACGCTGGAGGTGTAGAGCTTGCGCAGGTCGGCGCGCGTGATGGCTTGTTTCTGGACCACCGGCCCCGCGCCCTGCTCCTCCAGCTTGCGGATGACGGCGGCCAGCGTCAGGTTGGCGCTGCGCAGCTCGGGGTCCTTGGTGAGGTCGAGCGTGCGGCAGTACGGGGGCTCGTTGAGGTAGCGGTTGAGGGAGCTGCGGATGCTGATGAGCGAGGACTTGCTGTAGAGCTGGCCGCTCTTGGAGCGGGCCTCGGCGTAGAAGGAGCGCAGCACGCGGCACAGCGCCCCCTTGTCCATGGTCTCGAAGTCCGGGCTCTGCGCTTTCTCGCTCAGGTACTCCCGGAAGATGCGCACGGCGTAGCGGGTGGCCAGCCGGGTGTTCTCGCTCAGCCGGGCCCGCTCGGGGCGCTGCAGCACGTCGGGGTCCAGGGGGTCCACGCTGTCCCCCGGCGGCCCGCCGCGCGCCCGGGGCGCCAGCAGCCTCGGGGGCGCCTCGGGCTCCAGCGCGGCGCCCTGGTCCATATCGATCATATGGACCGGCTCGGGCTCCAGCTCCTCCCCGGCCGAGTCCTCGGGCTCCAGGGGCTCTTCCCAGTCGAGCCCCATCTCCTCCTCTTCCTCCTCCTCCTCCTCCTCCAGCCCCCCACCTCCGTCCTCCTCCTCCTCGTCCTCCTCCTCCTCCTCGTCCCCCGTTATCCGCACCTCCTGGATCTCGTCCTCCTCCTCCTCCTCGTCCTCCTCCTCCTCCTCGCCCGCGCTGCAGTAGTGCGGGCGGCCGTGGCGCCGTCCGCGGCCCCCCACGCCGCGCTCGCCCTCGCCCCGCTCCCCATTGTTCTCGGCGGCGGCGGCGGCGGCGGCGCCGGCGCTGGCGCCCGCGCTGGTGTTACAGTCCCCGCTGCCAGGCATTCTCGCCATATTGCCGTCTCTCTGCCAGTCCTCGGGCAGGGCGCATGCGCTATATTGGACCGCAGCGCTGAGAGCTTTTGTGTTTAATGACCTTCAGCTACCGGGAGGCAAAGCCGGGCTCTTAAAGGAGCCGCGCTCCAATTGTCATTTCCCTCCCCCCCCCACCCCAGCGCGGTTGGGGAGAGGCCAGGACGGCGCGCACTGGGGGGGGGGGGAGAGGATGCAGGGGTGGAGAGAGATGGGGGTAAGTTGAGGGAGGTCGTCAAGGACCCAGGCTGTTCGGACCTTCGGCCTCCTTTTCCCACCACCACCCCGCGGCCTTTCCTTACTTCGAAGAAAACTTTGAAGGAAAGAAAAGGAAGGGGAGGGAGAGCTGTCGGTGGGGGCGAAAACACTCCCAACTTACCCTCTGGCGGAGCGGCGTGCGGGCCCAGGCGGGAGAGAGGGAGGGCCGGCGGGAGGGCGGGGCGGTCTCGCTTCTCTAAGTAATGCCCGAGGAGCAGTGCCCCTTCCACCGCCCCCTCATTGCCCCCCGGAGCCGGGGGGTTCGGGGCGGCGGCTGCCTGCGCCGAGCGGAGCGCGGGTGCCGCGGCGGGAAGCCGGTGTGTGGGGCCGCCCGGAGCGCAGCGCAGCCGGCAGGTTAATGAGCAGGGTGGAGGAGGCTCCGCCGAGGCCCCGCACCCTCTCTGCGCCCGCGGCCAGGGCGCAGCGGGCGAGGCTTGGGAGCGGGACGGGGCTGGCGGCAGCCGAGGCTCCCCCCACCTACTTGCTGGCGGCGAGAAGCGGGGGCCTGGGGCCAGCCGCGCGGCTCTCAACTCCCTTTCCGACTCTTGCAGAGGAGCGAAACACGCCCCACATCAGCCTCATCCCTTTTCGACTTTTCTAACTGCCACTTTTAAGCTGTCATTAAAGACCTGGGGCGCTCCCCGTAGGTCTGGGGCAAGTCCGCGCCGGTCTAGCCAGCCCCGGGAAGGAGCCAGAAAGAAAAGCTTGGGAGGGGCGGGTAGAAGGACAGACGTGGGAAGAAGCGATCGGGACCCCCCGGGACCCCCCTTCCCCCTCCCCACACACACCCTCCCCACTCGCCCAGGCCAGCCACCTTCTCGACCCGGGAGCAAACTGCCTTTTACTCCCCTGGATTGGAGCCAAAGCAGCGTGGGCCCCTAAGGCCGAAAGAACGGGCAGGCGGCGGTGGGGGGGGGGATTGGGGGCTGGGGGGGAAGTGAACTTGGGTGTCGATCGCCCCCGCAGCCATCACAATTCCGGCCATCCGGATCCCGGGCGCGCTCTCAACTCTTTTTTTAAGTTTGCCCACCGCCATTCGTTTGCCCTCGGGGCCGCGCTGCCTCGGGCACGCGGGGGCGGGCACCTCCGGAAACTGGAAAGACAACCAAAGAGCTCGCCGGGTCCCGCTTTCCCACCAGAAGCACTGTCCCACTGCCAGCCAAACACCCGCCCCCGGCGCGCCCAGGCTCCCAGCGCGTCCCTGCGCCACCGCCTCCCGCTCGCCCGGCCCCGGGGCAGCGCCCCAGTCCAGCCCGGGAATGCGTTCTCTCTCGGAGCGCACAGCCCCGGCCACCTTCTCCACTGAAACTTCATCCTAACTCCACACCCCTCCACCCCCAGGAAGCCCCCGGGTGTCTCCCGGGCGTACGGCTAGCACCAGTGACCAGCAACCGGTCCCCGAGTCGAAGAGCCAGATCCTCCCAGCACTGCGCCCCCGCTTCCCCTCAGCCCCCGGTGCCAAGTCGGGTCTCCCGGGAGGCAGCCCCGCCAGCTCCTCCAGTGCGTCCTCGACATTTCAAGTCCGAAATCGGGGCAGCTCTGGGAATCGCGACTGTCGTGGCTCCCTCCCTTCCCTGTCCCCTCTCCGTTTGGCTTTCGGGACGTGTTATCATTTGACGCATCAATAGATCCCATCCATCAATCTGAAGTTTTAAATGATTGTTAGGAAGGAAAGGAGACAAGTTCTCCTGGCAGCGCGGGGCACCGCAGTGGTGAGCGGCGGTGTCTTTCCCGCAGGGCTCCCCGCGCTGCTCGTCCTCCGCGTGCCTCCCCGGCCCAGGACGCCAGGCAGCGTCGGGGGAATCGCGCCAGGTGCGGAAACAAGTTAAAGCAAGTCCCTGCCTCGCGGGCCTCCGCTGGCTCCTTGGGGGAAACACACACACACACACACACACACACGCACACACACACACACACACACACACACACACACACACACACACACACACACCCTGCTCAACGAAGAGAATCGCACTGGCAGGCAAGGGCAAGGAATCTGGAGGTTTGCACTCCTCCAGAATTGTCCCCAAGGCGCAGAACGGTGGCCGGCTGAAGTCACAACTCACTGTCACCCAACTCGCACAAGTAAGATGAGTGATGAGTTCGCGTCCCCAAGTCCAGGGCAGTGGGCAGCTAAGACGCAAACACGAACCCGTGCCCAGCAAGTGGGCACCCATCAATGACACACAACGACTTCCGGAGGGCCGGCCCTTTGTCCTGGGTGTTTCTAGATATTTGGTCCTCAGAGGCTTGGGTGGGCGCTGGACAAGTTAACTACCAGGATTTACCACCCCTGACGTCCTCTTTGCCCGGGCTGTGGCCCGAGAGCTCCCCCCCCCCCGCGCTAGCTTGAGGCTGAGCTGCAAACTGAGTGTGGGGACGGAGGCCCACTCAGGTTCACCAGATAGCCACCCTCCAGACCTCCTCATTTCTGCAGACTTTGGGGTACACCCGTCCTCCCTCCTCCCACACCTGCAGCCCTCTCCTCGGAGTGAGTTGCTGGGAATCATTCCCAGTTTGCCAGAGGCCGTGTGCTGGGTTGGAACGCTTCGGGGAAACAAAACGACTAAAAACAGCTCCCCGTTGACGTCAACTTATTTCAGAAAAGAAAATAGTTTTGTGCTCACTGGACAAAATACCCCCGAGGGCAAGTCTCTACTGGCCAAGGCCAGGAGATGGGGTTGGGGAAAAGAAAGACTGAACCCCACCAAGCTGGGATATATCTTTTTAACGGATTTGGAAAAACGGCCATTTCAGGTGCTGCTTGAACAGTTGGCCAATAATCAGCAGGACCCGTGCTTAAATTAGATATGAGAAACGCATCTTGGAAAGTGGGCCTTGGCCTGATTAGCCTGTAGCTAATGTTTCTGCTTCTTGGTACCAGCTCCTGCCATGCTACCAAAATCCTTTACCCACCCAAATCCATGATCAAATACTGGACAAGAGCTCTTCTGGTAGCCACCCACTGCCAGCCTCCCTCAGAAGAAAGAGAAATGGCTTAATTTTTAGAACCCCATAAAATTACACTTGGATTTATAAAGGAGTTCAATTCCAGGTTAAATAAATGATCTCTTTTAAAAAATCCTGTGGTTCTGTACACTCAATTCCAAATTGAAAGCATCAACAAAAGCAACCTGCATATCGTTTAGGAAGAGCCAGTGTTCATTGTGTGCCCTGTCAGATCAGCCCTCCAGCTCCTCCACTTGACCCTTCCCAATAGGAAGCCACTTGGCCCACCTCTTAGAGCCAACAGCTGCCCCACTCCTTTGAAAGGATGCTTTACTTCTTGTGCAAGACTTCTTGGGGCTTCTTTACTCTGAGAGTAATTCCATTACAATATGGAACACTATAATTATTTAGCTGTCAGAACTCTTCACTGTCATCTTTCACAACTTGCATACAACTTCAGCATGATGCTGCATACTGTCTCTCTCTCTCTCTCTCTTTTTAATCACCATTACAGGTTATCACCTATTTATTTGCTTCTCAAACTTCTTGGAAGTAGAGACATGGTTATTTGGGGAGGGAAAACTTCCAGTGTCCTTATTTTGTAAAACTCCTATTTTGGGTTCAAACTTTATAATAGTTTACATCACTTAAGAAAGAGCTTTCCAGTGTTATTCTCTCTGGGTGCTGGTGGTTTACATCTGTGATTCCAGCTACTCAGGAAGCTGAGATCTGAAGATCACCATTCAAAGCCAAACTGAGTAGAAAAAATTGTGAGATTCTTTCTCATCTCCAATTAACCAGCAAAAACTTGGTAGGGGGAAGTGTAGTTCAGGTAGAGTACCAGCCCTGAGCAAAAATACCAAGCAGAGGGCACGCCCTGAGTTTAAGCCTCAGTACTGTCTTGCACACACTCATGATGCACACATTATTCTAATATTTTATTGGTATTATCAATTAGCCTAGCCCTTTAAAGAATGCAATTAGACAGTTTCTCCAAATGCCAGAAAATATTCATATTATCTGACCTAGAATTTACTTCTGGTTTCCTAAACATCCTCTGTTATATATCTATTGTTATTGTTGTAATTATTATTATTATTACTTAGTTGTGCAAAGGGGTTTCAATTCCAGAAGTCAGGTTGTTACACATGTCTTGGTATAGTTGCCTTTTAGCTACCTGTTTCCTCTACTGAACCAATACATTTACAGTTTCTGGCTGGTATGGGGACACCAAAGGCACTCGGCTCATTTTAACTGAATAAGTGGATGTATAGGATCTGCATTAAAGTTAAGTTTCACATTTAGCAGAAAACTTTTTCTTTGAAAAAAAATCTAAGATATCATGAATCTGGAATTCTGTAATTCACATCAGGACAAAAAGTAAAGTGACTACAAGTCAACACTTGTAAGGTGACATTAATTTCATTACTGCTTTGAATTAATCTTTTCCTGACATTAATTTTTTTGAGTGAAACATGCTATAGAAAATTATTGCGCAAGTAGCGTGAAGGGCCTTTCTTTTTTTTCCCCCAGTAAAGGAAGGTAATGTTAACCTTTCCAAAGGTAAATCCGGGAAATGAGGTATCTGTATTAGGAGAGGAGGGTTGGAGAAATTTTAAATTAATAAATCCAAAGAACTTTGTGGGCTCTTAGGCAGAGGCCAGAAGAGGCATTTAATCACTTAAAAAATCAAAACAGGGAGAACCATTCTTTTGATTCGATTACTTAAATATTCAGAAAGTGCTTTTGAGGTTAAAGATGAATTCAAATCGAAGTCTATTTTTGAC